GGGAAAAAAAAAAAAAAAAAAAAAAAAAAAAAAAAAAAAAACACATCATAGTAAAATTAATACCTTCTCCGCTTCGCATCGAAGCTAAAACAACAAAAGACAAAATCTATTATGTTAAATAATAAATCAAACATATGAATAAGACATTACTAAGCAAAATAAAAATATTATTATAATATAAAATTATGATCTGCATTTGCACTTCTAAGTAACTGGCGGAGGGGTTTGTTCATTAGATAATTCGTGGAGGCATGCGTGCTCGGAAAGGCGCATTCGACCTGGTATTAATCTGCGAAACCCTAAAAGAGATCAGAGACAATAGTGCAGGACATTCCATCTTCCCATCAAGCAAACCCCCAAGAAACTTAGAGCCCGCAATACTACGCCTCGATAACAGAGTGGAAAGGCCTAAATTATTTGCCACGGAGCTATAATCGTGGGGTGGACATGTTAAACCCAGCGCCCGCCCAGCAAAACATAGAAATTTATTCTGCACCCGTTCTAACTGGCGACAGTTGTCTGCCGCGTGGGGATCCCACAGCTCTCAGCGAGAGCTGAGATTGAGCGTTCACAGACACAAAAAAAAAAATTTTAAAAAATATACCTTCTCAGCTTCGCATCGAAGCTAAAAAAAATGATAAGAAAAAGAAAGTTTTATATAACAATCTTATCATAAACAACAAAAGTATAACTAAATACTATCTTATAACAATTTATTTTGGTATTATTATTCATATTTTTATAAAATTTATTGTAGTAAAATCTTGAATATTTATCAATACATTTTTGAAAAATATTATTGTTTACTCTCAGAGTTTTCTTATTTCTAATATTGTTTGCTTATAACTTACCTGCATCATAAAGAAAATAATGCACTTTTATTGGTAAAAGATAGGTGTTAATATTTAGAAATACCATTATGTTTGACAGACACTTTTCATAAAACAAAAATTATCAATTACTTTGCTAATAATCATAAAATATAGTTATATTAAGTGATTAAATGCGTTATAAGAAGTTGAGATTCTAAAACGTATTTGTAAGTCTGACTATCTAAAGTGTAAGAGATGGATATTATAAGTGCTAGATCATTGATTAAATCAATGCAAAAATTATAATGTATACATTGTTAGAAATTGTCAAAACTAATTAGTGCTAATTGCAAAGTGTAATATATTTTTCGGAACAAAAAAAATCAATTTACACAAACCTGCAAACAAGAGGTAATATGTTAATGAATAATATTTCTTATTATAGAATAAGTAAATTAATTACTTCTAAGAAACAAACATTTTAAATTATTAATTTATACGTTAAAAAACATGGATGTAATGTTCATTGTTGAAATAGAACTCTCTTTGACTGCATAGGTGGACAATCTGGTGAGAATTTAAAAATTAATTTAAAATGAATAACCTTTTTTTGCATTAAAAATATGAGGGCTAAGCAGGACCGTCTTTAGAGTGTGTCAGCAGGGTTTGCTATAAAAATAATAAATACTTTAGAATTTTTTATAAATTCATCAAAAAAATAAAAATACTAAATTATAAAATAACAATTTCATACTACGTTGAATTGCTTTAATAGATATTTATTCATAAATTTTTATTTAATTAAGTAATTATCCACTAATTAGGAATAATGACAGAAATAGGAGTTAATTTTGCTTTTAGAATAATCATCCAATTTCTTAAAATTAAAGAGTGTGAACAGATTTGCATTGAAGTGTTTTTTATGATAGTGATTCTAATCACTGTCAGATATCATCTATACTGGATCCAACAATACCATTTCCCCAATGTGCTGGATTTTTTTTATAATCATATTATGTTTGCCAATTGTTAGTTATTCTTATACCAAAAAGGAAAAAAATTATTCCCTAAGTATTTATGATCATTAATATCTTATTAATTATAAATTTTAGGTAGTTAAATATTTTTTTTATCTCATCAGGGATAAATAACCTTTTTATATATAGGTAAATGAGGAAGCAGACAAATTTAGCAATAAAAATAGCATATGCATTTAACTTCCTGTCATTATTTCGAACTGCTAATATCTTCTAAAAACTTATCCAAAATTCGTAAGCAACCATTTATTTTCTTAATTAAATAAATATCTAATAAATAAGCTACTTAACTATGTATGTTGCTGTTTAAAAAATAAAGTTCCCATCCTTATAAGATATGAGACTCGTATAAAAAATTATGTAATTAAAAACAACGAAATCAATATATTAATTTTATTAATTATATTAAATGATAAAAGAATTATTCGGTATATAAACAAAATTAATGATAAAATATTACTTTATGTCAACATTTTTTAACTATTTTATAACATAAATGATTGATCGATTATAAAAAATTTGAAAGAAAATTATAATTATTTTGTCTAATTATGAAGTTCAAAATATTAAAGTTAGGTACTTTTATCCTTTAAAGGAGAAAACAAATTTATTTACTAAATAAACATGTATTTTGAACCAAATAGTTTTTCTTTTAATAAAAATTAAAAACTTTCTGTAGTAGCTCAGAAGATAAGTGATTTACTCAAAAATGGTATTTTTTTAGTAACACAAGTGTAAAAAAGATCAAATTTCTATAATAACGATTTTTAGGTAACTTTTACTTAGTTTTTATCCAGTGGGACAAAAAATTAAATTATAAAAATTTCACACGTTTGACTTTCTATTGTAAAAATTTTATTTTTGGTATTTTACCGAAACCAACAAAATTGGCTTTGAAAAATCCCTTTTTTTAATTTATTATGTTGTAAATTATTTCAAACACTTAATTTTTTTATTAGTTTTATGACTGAGATTTTATTCATAATTAAATTGGTTTAAAAGTATAGTTCCTTATTGTAAGATTTATGCTCATGGGATGTTTTATGCAATTTAGATGCGATAACATACATTTTTCATCAGAATGTAATCCGTAATGATCTACTTTATCAAACCGTGATAAATGTGTCAAACAGAAATACGTAGTTATATATGTTTATATTTATATGTATTATTGTTTTTCTTTTTTGGCTCACTATTAGATAAGTTTCCTCTTTAAAAGGCTAGTAATGTGTATAACAAATAGTTTTAACTCGCTAGTAGAATATAACGTATATTATCATGTTTAGTTTGTCTCATTCAACATTTTGAATTTAATACAGTGAGATTTACCATTGTTAATTATATATATCTTTATTTTTACGTAATATCTTTTAACTGTTTGATTGTAAATATATCTTTTTTATATTTCGAATAATGAATTGTTCAATTGGACATATTTAAAAGAAAAATGTCATTTAAAAATATACCATAGCAGCACAGATTCTGTGTCAGTATGTTTGAAAAATATTAATGATTTTAATGATATTTGGACGAAAATGTTGGGATCCATTAGGAGTTCATAAACACACTATAGAAAGAAGTTTAAGGGAAATAAGTTTAATACATGTTTCTAAAATAAAAAAAAAATGTTTCTGTTATTCCTCATAAGACATAAGTCTGTATGTCGTAATTGCTACAGCAATATTTTCGGAAAGGATAAAGTAGAAAATGACCCTGTAGAAATGTTATCTGATTCACTAAATCAAAGTTTTAATGACGATATATTTATCTCGGAGAAGAAAGAATTAATAAAGTTGACTCGATCTTTAATATGATTAATAAGTCACCTTTATTAAATTTAAGGAAATTAAATTCTGCTCAAGTTCCCAGTGCAATTTATAAAAAAGTCAAAGGAGTATCTTTTAATTTACGTGCTGAGTTTGATAATGTGTTATAAAACATCATCTTCCGCTCAATATCAAGATATAAAATGTTTAAAGTAAAATATATATATATATATATATTGTGTGTAATTGTCTGTTATAAAACTTTTGTATTATAAATTCTTGAATATTTTAATTATTTAATTATTATTTGTAAATAGTAATTAATAAATTTATAATTAACTTTAAATTAAAAATTAATTGGACATTGGACATTGTATACTTATACAATGTCCAATTAGAAAAGAATATTTAAATATTAAGTTTTTGCAATGATTTACAACATTGTAAATTTAAAAAACGAATGGACGTGGCATAGTTCGAACAAGTATAGATGATATCTGACAGTGATTAAAATCACTATCATAAGAAACGCTTCCTTGCAAATCTGTAGATAGTGTTTCATTTAGAGAACTTGGTGGATTATTTCAAATGCAACATCAACAATTCTTATTCCCTTAATTTTCTCCCGATTAGTTATTTGATTTATAATTATAATATATGAATAAATATTAATTGTAGTAATTAAGTTTAGTATGAAATTGATATTCAATAATTTAATATTGTAATTTTTATAGAGATATTATAAAAATAATAAAGTAGTTGTATATTTCTTTACTTTGTAGTAATTAGATGAGGAAGTATTGAATTACGTCGATTTTAGTATAATATAAGCTTTACAATAGTAGTAAGCAATTTTTGAACTCTTAAGCAATATAATAATTCCATATAAAAGGGAAATGCAGGGTAAGCAAATTAATAATGGTGGGAAAAAGAATATAAAAGGGAAACNAAGCAAATAATTAATGGTGGGAAAAATAATATAAAAGGGAAACATGAAAAGTGCAGGGGGACGAGACTGGGCTGGTCGAGACTGGACGTTATTGTTGAAGAAACGTCGAGTTACGTGTACGCGAGTGTTTTTTGTACGATTTAATTTAATTTTATGTTACATTTTTGATATTACTTTTTGACTTTGTGCTTGATAAGTTTCTTAAATAAAATAGCTATTTTAAAACCTGGACTTGGAGCAAATATTTTATATTCACCGTGTTCTTAGAATTGTGTGTGTGTGTGTGTGCGGCTAGAGTCTAGGTTGGACTGCTGGTCCTTTAGTCAATCTTAATAATTAGTGTACGAGCTGGCTAGTTTTTGGGCTTAACCGTCCTTTAGTGGGTATAGTAAAAAGGTAGTTGTGCTGGTGGCTGACAAGGAGCCACCCTTCAGTCTGCTACTTTTTAGCTAGACTGTGCTGACGGGTCTAAACTCTACCCCTTTAGTGGTTCACTAATTTGAGGGATTGTGGCTGATCAGTTTATCCAATGGGAGGACTCGAGAAGAGCTCGAACGACGAACTCGTCGTCAATATTTAAATATAAAAACATTAATTAATTTGTGTAAAACTTTTGTGTCTACGTTGGAGCACTACCGACGTACGACAACTTTTAACGCGTAAAAAAATTTGAAGGGCTTGATGCAATACATTTCAATAAATAATGTTTGTTACTTATAACAAAGTTATAAGTTTTATACACTGGACTACAAGGAACATTCATCAGAATCAAAAATATACTTTTCTAAATCAACTTTTTGCGCCGTTTTCAAATCGGAAATTAGACTTTTTCTATCACTTTAAATTTTTGCTATTATTACTTATTATTAAAAAAACCCAGCACAGGGGGGTCGCGGCACAGTGGTATAGATGGATCAAGTATAATGATATCTGACAGTAATAAAATCACTATCAAAAAAAAACGCTTCGATGCAAATCTTTAGATACTGTTTAATTTTAAAAAATTGATGGACTATTCCAAAAGCTACATGATCTGCTAGTTCATTATTAATATCCTAATTAAGATAAAGTATGTAGAATGAAAAAGGGATTATTAAAAAATATTATTTCTCATAAAAAAATAATGTTGATCCATACACTTTTCAATATGTCATAGCATTATAAAGTTAAAAATGTAAAAAATAAAATCGAGAATTTTCACACAATAATAGCATACGGTAGCCATTTTCACCGTGAAGATAAAATAAAGTCCGAAATTTTTTTTTTGCATAATAGAAAATATTACATTAGCTTTAATTTAAGATATATATAAAAGTGTCAGACCTTCCGGAACATTTTCAAAAGTTAAGTTGAAAAAGTTAATTTTTTTTGAAAAAGTTGTCATTTTAAATCCCCCCTTGTGGGCAGGTTAAGGGTTAAATTTATGAAAAAAATATACCAAACGAAAGGTAACGATATTACACATCTATATAAAAAAGAGTTATATTGATATGTTCATTTTTGAAAAAGTTATGGCACTTTTAAGTAAAAAAAATTGAAAAAATTTCGAAAATTAGCGATTTTTAAATTTGTAATTTTTTTGGAGGTTTCCCCCATTTACGGGGAACGAGGG